GCCTGCCTGCCTGCCTGCCTGCCTGCCTACCTACCTATGCAGAGATGCAGCCTCTCGCTGGCCATGGCATTTCTCCATGATCATACTAGCACATACATTGTCCATGAAGGGAGGAGAGCCACATAGCGGGAACTGTGTGCGTGCGGGGACGGATGGACAGTGAACGAGGATCGTGGGTTGGGCTGGGCTGGTTAGGCTGGGCTGGCCGGGGACATGAATTGGTGTGGTCTGGGGTCTTGGGGCGATCGTTCCCGCACCTCCCTCCCTCTGCCATAGCTTCCCGGGGCTCCATCTGACTGCTAACTATCCGGACCTAGGAGTGCATTTCTTAGCAGTCTGCAAGGCGGTGAGTTCTTATGGTATCTTGAACGCATTTACGAGGTCTTGGGACGCTCTGCAGAGCGACTTATCAAGCAGAAACGATACATCAGAAGCATGACAGGGACAAGGTAGTTTGAATGGACAACGGTGGAACGGATCATGCTTCTGGGGTCGCGATTGATCGACTCGGTTGGCGTTCCAGACATCTGGAGCCTTTTGCAACGGTACGTTGGAGACCTGCAACGTTATTGCATAGAGGTGGGTTCAATCTAAATGGCTGGCTGAAATTAGGATCTTGATCACTTCACGTTGTTTTTTCAATCCCGGCTGGAGCGTTTCGAGGTGTATAAGGAACCCCGACTCGTTTGATTCAATATGAAATACCGTCGAGAGAGATCGTGTTTCCGGATCTTGAGTACACCATTGCATCATCAGGTATTGCTTGACGTGCTATCACTGATAAACCGGACCAGGTTCCTCCAATACTGTGCAGCTTTTGCGAATATGTCCTTGAGTTACTGTCAAGCTGGGCCGTATTCTTGGCCAGCTGTCGAGAAATAGAGTGCAAGGCTAGAGTGCTCCAACGATGAGCAAACAAGGGAATGCAACATGAGTGTGACTTTATGACGTCCCTCCGTTTCTCACGAAGGCTGGAAGAAACAAGATTCACGTCTTGGATGACGAGAATGAAGGCAGCAGTTAGCCTAATGGACTTTTCTTACATGATGCTAAGGTAAGACCTTCTCGCGGAAGAGATGCGATGTGGGTCAAACAAAGGTGATAAATGCACACGATATGAGACAAGATATCACGGGCCAAAAAAAGGTGAGACACAGGAAGCAAGACGACATCAAAGTGTTTCCCATCCTGTCTCGACTGGCACCTCGGTGAGCATGTTGATACCGTGTCAAGCCCAGACTGACCGAACTATGGTTCACGACGCAACTGGCCGCTGGGTGCTGCAATGCTTCGATATCATGAATAAGGCTCGCCATGTTGTTTGTATGGCAGCGCAAGAGTCTCTGTGCGGATACAACAACTGGAAGCTCGCCCAAACAGATCACATATACGACGGATATGAGAAGAGACTCATTATTAAGTGTACGATGAGAAATCAAAATGCAAATCAAGGTCTGCGGCGCAGCAACGCAACAACGTTTCGTGTCGTTGAAGGCCGAACTGCTAGCCATGTAATGGCATCTGCATGCAGTTAGCATCGTGACGGCGCCCACAGCACAAGCGACAGGCAGACATTGGAGGCTAGGGCGACAAAGGGCGCTTGCGTGCATGGAGCATGGAGCATGGAGCATGGAGTGAGCGGCATACCCACACACCCGTCACAGGGAATGGGACCACACTGAGCACGGTGCGACAATCAGACCCAGTATAGCGGATCAGAGGCTGGCGAGGATCTCCATCTCCATATCCAACCGTCTATCTTGAGACTCGAGTCTTGTTAGACCAACTAATTTAGTACTGAGCAAACTGATGGATCGCTGATGCTCGGTCGAATTCTTCGACTAAACTGCTATCTTGGCCAGGAGAACAGAGCTAATCAGTTTGACTTATCTCTGTGCAGAATTCATTTAATGTCAGGAAAACACACAGGCATGTGGATATTGGCCTTATCCCATTCGAGAGTATAGGTCCATCTCAAGGCTAGGAACCTGCCTAGTGCATGGATGGATCTGTGACAAAGGAATCTGCCAAAAGACCGCAACTCGGCTTTCATTGTGAGGTTCAGAATCAAGTCCTGGTCAGGGGACTTTGAGGAACCAATAATCTATAATGGAGGAAGCATGCACCTGCTGAAGCAGACCAAAGCATCAAAACCTCATCAATATCAAGCTGCATATGTAGGTATATCCAGCAGGCACATTGACGCGTTACGAGATGCTGACAACGATGACACCCAAGCTGTTGACTTGAGCCTACCAGAGCCAGCAGTAGACTCCAGCCGTTACGGTGTATTCTGAATTGGGTTTTGCTTTCTATCTGCAAGCTCAAGACATAGCTACCTTGCCCAGTGACATCTCACTACTTGGGAGACTGGTAGACTGGCCAGGGAGGCGCTGAGCTATAGCCGAAGCTGAGCTAAAGGCCCCAATGATGCTGATGATGATGACGCGGGGAAACTGATGTATGTACGTGACTGTGCTAGGAAGTTGAGCAGTCTCGGTCTGGTTATCCTGTCAAGCCTGCTCACCATCGACAGTTTCTTATCTAGGAAACACACCTCTTGATTATTGCGCTGCTTCTCCCGCCAGAACCGTCTACACCGCATTCTGTCGCGCCTTTCGATGATAGTATCATTCACCACAGTAATCATTATCTTCGCTTCTCAGAACTCGACTCCGCCTCCGCCTGGTCGTCGTCTCCTCATCATCTTCCTCACTGTGTCTTGTCTTACTTCTTATACATACACACCATTTCCTATGATAGCCAACCAGGGTTTTTGTTCCCCTGCTCGTTGACCCTTGTTCTTGTCCATGCCTTGGCTTAGCTCTCCACTCACATCCCCTCCTCCCCCAGGCTTGCGCCATCTCAACCAACCATTCTTCGTCATCCGTCTCCCTCGATCGCACCGTCTTTCCAACGGTAAACCCTTTTCCCCTCCACTCCATCTTCTTTGATATCCCAGCAGCCCTCTTGTCCCACTCCCTCTTCGTCGTCCTCCTCCCTCCATCTTCCTCCACTGCTGGTCTGTACCGAAGACGGATGCCATCCGCACCTACAATAAACCATCCATCTGTCTGTTCATCTGTCTATCAAACAATCAACTCGCCCAGACTGGCAATACGGTGATTAAACATCGTCGGCACCATCACCATCTTATCGACCTGTTGTCGCTACACGACCAACTGCCTCGTTTCACTCTGCCTTATACAGCATTCCCCTCATCATAACACCCATAACCACCTCGTACGGCATTTTGAAGCACCCGGGAGTGAAATCCCCTCCCCTCGAGTTGTTCATCATTATTAACTTGAATTTTGAATCTCAAGGAGCACAGCTCACGCGCAACTTGTACAGCGTCGACAGAGCGCAGCAAGTTGAACTTTGCCCTGTCCGCTATCAAAACGTTTCTATCACTCCAGTCGCGACATGTCATATCGTTGATTGCGAATCTTGTTCCTGCCTTTGTCGCATTATCAACGCTTCTTACCTAACACGCGCCACACGTTATTCGTTCACAAAACCATCCATTCTCTTTGAAAAGCGCACTCATTTCAAAGCGCAGCGATCACATTGCATCGCAGCGCATTAACATTGGAATTGAACCACACTCGACTCCAGGTCGATACTTGATACAACCCATGCGCTAGACGATCTCCGCTTTGAACGCTTCAGACTCGTTTCTTCTCCACATCCACACGCGCCTCTGTCGCATTATCTCATACTACCTTACGCTACAGTATCACTGGCGCGCCATCACCCGTGTTAGAGACCCTAACTAAGAGTCACTCACCGTTGCTTACACCCCCCGCTGCGCCGCCGCCTCCTCCTCCTCCACTTCCTTGAACCTCCAAGGATTCGGTTCTGGTTTTTGATTCTGATTCTGACTCTTGGGTCTTGGTCTTGATATCCCCGGTCCTTTTTTGTGGGTTCTTTCCACTGGAGCCATTTCAGGGGCTCTTGATTGGTCCCTTCCTGCTCGGGCATGCTCCTGCCTCCCAAGAGTGGTTTTTCTTACCTTACTTAGCTTCCTGGTCTCAAATCGCCACTGCCTTTACTGCAAGTGCGACTGATTCCCAGATTTTACTGTAGCTGCTACCTTAGCTGCTCGCACTACTACTGCACCTTCCCTCCCACCCCATTAAGATTCAGCGCGGTCCCGTCCCCCTCCTCCACCTGCCACCATCCCATCGTTCATCATTAACCCATTGCCATCCACCCATCCATCCACCATCGGCTTTCCGCCATCACACACGCACGCACACACGCATACACCCGCTCCATCGCATCGTCTAACCATCCTGTTGACAATCTATCAATCACTTTGTTTGACGCGCATCTTGGAATCTTCAGCGCTCTGTTGATATTCTTGTTACGCGACCGTTCGTTGGTTTTACTTGCGCGCCCATACGCTGGCTGATCTGATCATTGAGATTCATCCGTGAGCCTCTTTGACGTCGTTGTCGCATTTGTCGCACAACGCGATTCCGCGTCTATATTTCATATCATTCTATCACCAGACAAAGGTAAATCCTGCCAAAGTTTCGATTCTGCGTACATCTCCCCATTCTTGCTTTCTGCATCTTGTTTCGTCTTCTTCTGCTTGTTTGTCTTCTTTTCTTCTTCACACACCTGTCCCGCCGCTGCCGCGACCAGCGTCTGGATTACTACGATCTTGTCTCGGTTTGGCTCAACTTCCGACTGGAGTCTATGCCCCGGCCTGCGCTTGACTCTCCCTTCCGAGCCAAGGCCTGGCAGGCCAAATCGCACATCACAAGGCCAGGCAGGCTTCCCACTTTAAGCTCGCCATATATCTACAATTCGCCATTCACGCTCAACGACGCGCCTCCTTCTGGCTGCACAACCACGTGCGACTGGCGTTGCCTCCTTTCTGCATCTTCTCCAACCCGTCAACTCGTCAGTCCAAACATCTCTGGACACGTCGCCATCGCTTTCCCGTGGTCGCAACTTCACCCATCCCCAGCTGGCTCGGTAGCTCTGTGATGTACTCCGCTCAGCAACCCAGCGCTGATAATGCGACAATCAATCCAGCTGCGCTCAGCTCACCTGGTAAGTTTTATAACTCTATCTCTTTCTTTTCGTGGTCGCATATCCTTCGCAACCCTTCCTCCACTCTTATACCATGCCATACATACGTGCAAGTGATAATATCACTTGCGCTCAAAGTCCATGATGAATCCATTTGCCCCGCACTACAACTTTCGCGCCCTGCGACAGGGGGATTCAAGCGTGAAATAGGTTGCGCCACCCGTCACCACCGTCCGTTAATTCAATTCAAGGTTCAAAATGCTAATCAGCCTTCTCTAGTCATAGGTCTGACGCAACAACCCCAACGCACACTGAAGCGCAGTCATTCTCCTGGAGTTTACGGCGCGCCGCAGCTTGGCGATGACGGTATGTCGGCGATTAGTACTCCGCCGCTACTTTACTCATTTCGGCACCCGACTACCTTGCGCCAGATATGGCGATCAATTACGATTCCTTTTTAATTGCTATTTTTGCTCATATGCTTTTCGTCGTATTTCGTTGCAGTACTTGCCGGCTCAAAAATGCAATTGGTGAGAGAATGTGCTGACCTGTCTTGCAACCTGCAGGTGATACAAAACCACTTCGAAAGAAGGCAAGACCGATGAATAAACGATCAACGGGGAGCATTTCCGAGGCTCCCGGCCAGGCCGCCGGCTCGACCCTTCCTCAGACTATTCCTCCACCGCAGACTCCCCAGTCTCAAGGCTCAGCGCTGCCGCAAACGAGCCCTGCCTATACGCCGCAGACACAGATGCCCCCAAAGACAACTCCGACAAAGTCAACACTGAAGGCTCTGCCCACTGTGCGAGACCACACGACCGACCAGCTCAATCCGACTGGAGATGAGTATATACCCCGTGAAATTGATGAGTTCGGAGAGAAGAAAGTCCAACTCAACGGTACGCTCAACGGAGGACGTGAATACAAGTGCCGAACATTCTTGGTCCCTAACCGCGGGGATAAATTGTTCATGTTGGCTACCGAATGTGCTAGGGTTTTGGGTTACCGTGATTCGTACCTCTTATTCAACAAGAACAGGTCTCTGTACAAGATTATCGCAAGCCAGGCTGAAAAGGATGACTTGGTTGGGCAAGAAATCCTCCCTTTCTCGTATCGATCCAGGCAGATTGCCATCGTCACCGCCAGGTCCATGTTCCGACAGTTTGGAAGCCGTGTGATTGTCAATGGCCGCAGAGTTCGCGATGACTATTGGGAAACCAAGGCCCGGAAACAGGGATTCACTGAGGCTGACCTTGCCGGTGAGAAGCGCCCCGGTGCTACGAAGGCGAGAGAGGCGGCCGAGGCCCAGCAGAACAACGTCTTGTTAGCTGGTCCCCATCCAGAGATTGTGTATAGCAACAACCCAGGACCGTTCCCCGGCCCCCCGCAGCCGCACCTCGTTCAACCAGGTATGATCGGACCACCACCCGGAACCACGACAAGAATGCCCGGATTGACACTAGGATCAGACCTAAGCGACTCCCGGCCGCGCGATTATTCCGGAATTCTCAAAGGCGGACCTCGTCAGGAGATCACCGGCCCTGCTTACCAAGACCAGACCCGTCCCTCGCCCCTCGGGGAGCTCAACGCCCAGGCCCATCATGCCGCAGATTTCAACAGGTCAGTTAATCAACAGCGGGATATGCGCAACGACTATCTCCAAGGCGTTTGGCGACGCCCACATGAACAGCCCCCCTCCAATCTGACCCAGCAGCCTGTGGCCTCAGCCGACAGTTCCAACACGGCGACTAGTAGGCCTTCACACTCACCTCATACTACGGCTACTGCCATGTCGCAGCAGCCTGGATTGGTTTCCACTCAGAGCCCTCAAATGATGATGACCACTGCGCCCTACTCCCAGTCAATCAGCGCGCAGAGCAGTCTCAGCCAAGCACCCATGAGGGGTATGGCTCAATCACCCACGCAATCAATCAGACCAACACTTCCCGGTACAGGGGGCTCCATGTCTCAGGGAACGCCTGGTTACAACTACCAATCGGGTCAGATGTGGCCGCAGACTCCACAGGCGCCCCAGCATGGCTACGGCAGCTACACTGCTCAATCCCAAGCACCTCACCCGTCGCAGTCGCCTTCGCATCTCCGTCAAGGGAGCTCGGGCCAGATGCAAAGTATGCAGTTCCCTGGCATGGCTGGTATGCAGTATGGTGCGGGTCAGAGCATGTATCCTGCAGATCAAACGCCTCGCCAATACATGCCTCAAGGTGGCGCTGGTGGACCATCAGTCTCTCAAGGCTGGTCCGGCCAGCATTCACCAGCCCAGCAGTGGTGGACTCCAGGGCAGCAACCTCAATAAGTTTGTGAACACCAGCTAGTGATGCGAAACGATGGAATGATATAGCCCACGGTCTCACCTGCTTCCGTTGAGAAATCCGATCTGATAGTGTGGTTTGTTTGTGTTTTTTTCTTCTTCTATTTGCCCTTTTTATTTTTCTTATTTCTTTCTTGGCCTATCCTGGGTTTATATACGACTTGAGCCAGAAGACGGCTATCTTCTTGGTCTGATTTCCTCCCTCCTGGGTCTCCAGGTGTGCAGATGAGTGGAGGGGCTATGTGCATCTTGAGGGGCCTTCTGGCTTGAAGAATTGCTAATAGTATTTGGACTGGCTGGGATAGAGGAGTCGGACAGGACAGGGACACATGATTTTTATTTTTTTATTTTTTTTTATGTTTTCTTCTTCTACTTGTGGGTTTTGATACGAGGTAGTAAGTCGGGTTAGGTACATTCACGAGGGTAACATGCCCTGCTGTTGTTTCTTGCTGTTATATGTTTACCACGCCATTCTGTTGGATGCAGGCATATGGGCTTAGTGTGATGTTATTTGGGCAGATTATTGGTTTGGTTTGATTTAGTTGTTCTTGTGGTACTACGGATGAGTTTTCCACTGCGACTCGCCTGTGCGTCGTCGCTGGGTACTATTTGTGTTGGCGAGGCATACATCTATTAGGCTTTCATTTTGATACCACGTCACTCTTCGATTCGTCCTTTTAAACATTTCTTTCTTCCTGGAGTACAACGTACCAGTCGTGAAGCGTGTGTGCATGTGCGACATGTGAGTGTCGCTTGAGAGGGGTGTGATACCGACTGGGTGACATGGTGGGGATTGTATTGTTGATTCAGATTTGATAGTTCATGTCTATAGTCTTACCTTGGCTACTTTGCGGCTTTGCTTGCTGCGTAAATAATGGTGATGCTTGATGAGATGTTTTAGGGTCTTCAGTAATCTTGTTGCTTTGTGATGTTCTTTGCACTGCGAGCTGAGGCTCATGTCAGTCAGTATCGAAGCTGTGCAACGAACCCGGACTCGACGTGCTGTTCGTGTCTGTTTATGCAATACACAGTCACGACAGCATGCTTTGACCCGGCCCAGCGAATCGGGCAGCCTGGGATGTTGTCGTCCAATATTTAGGGCTTATGTACTACATTTGAAGTGACAGCACGGTAACACCCGCCGGGATGTTTCCGCCGGGGCAGTATTCGCAACGGGGCTCATCTTGTGAGAGGGCAAGGAATGTAGAGTGTCTGGAGAGTGTTGACAAGGTGCGTAGTACGACAGTTGAGATTTAGGTTTGAACTGTACAACAGACTATAGTATGAATTGTCATACCCGCTCAGCCCGTGTACGTACAAGCAAGGCAACTGAAGGAAAAAGAACCAGAATATCGTGTCGGTAAATTGTGAGACAGTGGCACCATGAACATACGAGTCGTTCATCCAACCCCCAGGCCAAATGGCTAACTACATTTTTCTAATCACTCTCATCACCATCCAATGCCTCGTCTCTCTCCTCTTTCCCTTCCTTGAGCTCAAGGGCATCCTGGGTATCATCGCCACTAGCTTCCCCCCCCTCCTCCTCGTCTTCTTCTTCGACTTCATCGTCCTCTGAATCTTCGGGGATCTCAACCTCATCCTCTGTCACGGCATCCTCCTCCGCCTCTGCATTTCCAGGCTCTACACGAGGGCGCTTAGCTATAGGGCCAGTTGAGACAGCTGTTGTGTCTGCGTCGGTTTCTATGTTAGACGTGTCTGGCATGTCAGTGTCTGGCCCGTCTGACTTTTTCGCGCGGACTTTTTGACGGTAAGATGTGCGCTTTTCAGTCTGGATAGCGTTGAACTCTGGGTAGGGTATTAGCAGTCTTGTAACATACAATCCGGCCCGCGACGAAAGACATGGCAGGGACTATAAAAAGACATACTGGCAAATTCAGCTTCAAGAGGTTCCTTGAGGAACGCGAACTCGGTCTCCTCGAGTGCCTTGAAGACATCTGCAGGGGAGATTGTCTTTTTGCCTGCATTGATGGTGTTTTCATTGGCGCTAACTCGCAATTAGTGATTTTCTCTTAGGGGGGAACGAAGAGACTTTACGCACTGAGACGCTAGGTAGTTGATAAACACTGTGGTGCTCTGGCTTAGAGCCATGATGGCATTGGCCTGGATCTGTGTGTTGGGGGGTAGAACACCCTTGGACAGACGCGTTATTATAGACTTTGGAAGGGTCAAGTCCTATGGTTCGAATTAGTCAGTCAGTCTTTGGTTCTGTTCGTCCCTTGTGGATAGATTTGGGCACTCGAAGATTGAGAGGTGGTTGGGCTGCTGTTCTTGAACCTACCTCGATGGTGATGTGCTCCTTGTGCTCTTTGTCCTTGTCCTTGTCCTTCTTGTCTCCATCCTGGGTCATAGAAGTATCCGCTTCAGCTTCCGTACCAGGAGTCTCACTGGCAGCTTGCGGTGCTGGTGCTGGTGCAGCAGGTCCTTGTGTGGCCATGGAATCGTTGTCATGTGTCGGAGCGGGTGCTCGACTTTGCTCCAAGGGCAACACATCATCCATCGGGACGAATCGTGCAGTTGAAGTGTCGCTTTTTCGCGAGCTAGACTTACGAGGTGGCATTGTGAATGGTGATGAGAATAGTATGTTGGTTGATGCTGGGAAGAGATGATTTAGATGTGGCTGTGCAGATCTTGCTTCCCAGGTATACAGCTGAGATGAAGCAAAAGAATGCTTTGATCGAACAGCAATGTTATCTCTTTATTGTATTTGATGAGTATCAGAGGGAGCACCTCTGATATGGCGACCACTTGGTCACTCTCTTCTCAACCCCTTTCTGGTGATGATCTCGACTCGGAACGGATATTGGAGAACAAGGAATGTCGAGATTAGTGTTGGTCCCTGTTCTGTTGGTCGAGATTCATTTACGCAGCAAGAACTCAATGTCGATGCTTGCGGACGCTGTAGATCCTGACCAAGATAATTCGTTGTTGGCTTGAAATTTAGTGAGAACGCAAGTGAACTTGGACTGAGGTTGAGTGCAAGTTTAGTGAACGCGCTTGAGACAGGATGTGGCTGGACGCGGCCTATGCCCCGCTGTGAGTGGCTAGGGACGCGTTAAGTGGTTTCTTGGTGGAACAAGGCTACCTCAGGAACAGAGTGCGATTACTTAGTAGGTGTCTACACAAAGGAAAGCCAACGGGATATCAATTAAGCTTCATATAAAGACGTTTCTAGAACGTGACGGGTACGAGGCTAATTATGTTGATCTAAAGTTTAATCTTGTTCATCTTGATTGCGTCAGTGATACTACTCCATCTATCAGTTCGATGCGCCCAACATTCAAGCAAGGGTTTAAGATAAACTTGGAGGGAGGGCTTGTTGTCAATCTGTTTGAATTGGAGTGCATATCTATATATATAGCTTTCGTATAGGTGTCGGGCACATGAGTGATACTGCCAAGGACTCATTTGTCTGTCAAGCTCCGTATCTTAATAGGAGAACTCTCGTGGCCAGGCTCGAGTCAGCCGTGGATATCATCTACATCGTATGAAACGGACCGTCTCGTATCCGTTCATATCACTTACTCGCTTGGTCATGATAACATAAAATGAAAATGAAAATGAAGGAAAGTCTGGGGTATATCCGTCATCAAAATGCACACAAAATCCTCCGTTCCAGCACCGGGCATAGACGCCAGCGCATAAAATCATGGTCCCCATGGGATCCAGACGCCAAGGGTAAAATGAGGCGGGTTCAACCGGTCTCATGGTTACCGCTTCTTCTAGGAGAGGAGTGAGTGGCAGCTATAGCCTTGAGGTGACGAACGTTCTTCTTGTGTCGACAAGCTTGCGCTTGTGCTTGGCAGTCTTGTAGTGAGCCAGCAGTGTCGATTTCTTAGAGAGCGCAAGTTCGCAGTCATTGCAATAATACTTCTTCTCGGCAAGCGCAATAGCCCGGCTCTTGGCTTGATTTGCAGTGTGTCTGCCCGGGTTCTTGGCTCTGTATCTGGAGACTCGCTCGGAGACAGCAGTCGTATAAGCATCGTAGTTTGTAGCCATCTGTCTATAGTGCCGATTACTGTCGTTCATGGACCTGTTTTTGCGTTGCGTCTTCTTCCTCTCAGCAGCGTGAGCTTCGAGTTCCTCAGCGGTAAGGTTGAAGTCATCATGGACCCATTCAGTCAATGAGGAATGTGAGCAAAGGCCTTCGTATTCTATGGTTGCACGGTCCCAGAGACAGACCTTGTCCATTCCAGGGTATTCCTTCTGTGGCCCCATTGCCCAGAACAAGAACCCAAACGTGGCTTCGAGAGCACGTATTAGAAGACGGTTGAGAGGGGCGCAGGCTGGCGTTGGCATTGGGATTCGACAAAGTACGCCTTGGTGGGTGATGGAAAATCCGTCATCAAAGGCAGCCTTAACTCCGACGGGGAGCATATTGACACGACATTGAGAGTACTGGTTCAGCCGGTCATGTACGCCCCTCGAGGATGTTCCAGAGCCGATGTACAACTTAGGAGAACAACCAGGCTTCTTAAGCACGATTGCATAGACACCCCACTGGGAGAGCTCAGCGGTAGGGAGACTCTTAAAGAACTCAATAGTAGGAGGGACAACAGATTGGACAACGTCCAAAAGACCAGGGGCAAATTCAAGGGAGGCTTCACCAGCTATCTCCGCCATTACTTGCAGGGAGGTGAAGAACGTAGCAAAAAGAAGGTTCTTGGAGTAGTATGGAGTTTCGCTAAGGCAAGCCCAGGTGAGTATCATCATGAACTCCATGATAGTTGAGACCGGTTCAGGCGTGGTGACCGTCTTGGCCGAGGGAGAGAGGAAGTCTGCTATCAAGGGCATTGTGGGCAATCCACAGATGATTGTTGAAGCCAAGGAACAAGTAGCGCAGTGATGCTGGGGATGGATGACGGACGTCGTTGATCAGGAGGGAGAGAGGCATGATTATTGTCGACGAGAGGTGAGGCAGGACCTCACCCAGAAAAGGAGGCTGTCCATAAGGAAGGCGCTTCCATGGGTTACCCACGACACAACCGCCTGCCTTCCGAGGCAGGTGCGTCTGGATGGGGAAGGCAGGCGGTTGTGGAGAAGAAATGATGTTGATGAAAGAAAGGAAGGAAGGATGGGTTGAAGGAAGAAGCTGCTGAATTTATAGGTAGCCAGGAAATATTATGACTCAGAGACCTCCCAGGAATGCTTCGTCGTCGAATGAGAGTCGGTTCATGTTTGACATGGAATGCATTCGCTGGTGCTGCCGTCGAATATCTAATGACCGATTTGCTCTGGGTAGGTATTCGCTGGAACTGCGAGTGCCGAAGAAGGCATCGGGATAGTGACCGTGCCAGGGATCACGGGGTGATACTGCACTCATGGTGCTGCTGCGGCTGCTGCGAGTTCGACTGTGGCGAGCAGAGGGGGGAAGCTTGGCTAATCGTGAAGGCTGACGCTTCACAGGTGGGATGAAGGCATCTTCACCCTGGACGGCCTCATCAGTCAGACCGGGGCGAGAATTGGGAGCACGGGCAACGACTGGGGTTGAAGGGGTGTCGATGCTGTGCTTGTGGTGAAGTGAGCGTGGTGAGAGTTCCTCAGAGACTCGGGGGTGAGGACGATTGTAGACAATAACGCTTGGAGGTTTGCGTATGGAACTAAACGATGTGCTCTTTTGTCTCTGATGCTGGAGTTGTCGTTCCAGATCATTGGCTTCGTTGTTAGCAGCCTCGATGATGCGTGCCTTTTCTTGGTTCCTGTCCTTCTTCCATGACTCAATTTCCTCGTCGCCGATGGGGGTGATGCCTCTGTTCATGAAGAGAAATCGACGTTGGCGGTCGCGGCGGTAGAGGAAACACCCGACAGCGGTGATGGCGGTGACGGGAACCACGGTCGCGAGGACAATGATGAGAGCTTGGAGGTGTGAGTCCTTCATGGCTATATCTCCATTCTGTGTCTGTATGTGAAGATGTCAGAGGGAGGTGAAGTGACGTCGTCAAATATTATTAGTAAAGTCACACCAATGTCGTCCAAAGGTGTGGTGGAAGAAGACAAGGTGAGCGAACGTTGAGCTTGGAAGATATACGCTTCCGAGTTGAGGCCAACTGGGAGACGGTTAGTTCTTGTACTAGATCATTTGTATGTAAGCTGGATGAGATATGAGATGACGGCGGGTGGTGTCCATGCATATCAATACACCGACCAATATCTATATCATCCATGTAACAGACATAGCACACGCATGTATTAAAAGGGCAATTTTCACTAACAATCAAGCGACTACTCGGGATCGAGCTTCGGTGATAATCGGATCAAGTGAAATTGAATTCACTCGGTTCGATTGAAACTCGATTCGGTAGTCGGTATAAGGTCAATCTCCAAGATATCGACGTTGGGTGGAACGTCGGTAGAGATGGGCGAGATGAGATGGGGTGAGATGGGAGGAGTATAGGTGAAGGTATATCGACCAGGAACTCAAAGGCCCTGTATATGGCACAGGCAGGACGAAGGTCAAGAGATCAGAATGTGAGTTGGGGGGCGGTTGAAGCTATATACAGACTGGGGGTTTCAAAGAGTGGGAAAGGGTGTGCAGACTACATCTGATGGGGGAGAGTGAGGATGCAGGCCTAGGATCGTCATGGCCAGCGAGCATGTAACGCCAGATGTTAGTCTTTACTAAGAAAAACGTACATATGTACTGTACTGTACAGCATGTACCTAGCTAGTCAAGAATAAGAACAAGATATGAGAGACATGCGAGATGGTGAGAGACAGGAGGTGTGAAGCCTCACTCAAGTGGGTGTGGGCTATGGTGGATAGTGAGTGGATAGGGGGTGAGACTAGGCTCTGAGCTGCTGATACATGAAACCCTGGTCTACAAACCACCAAAGAGGTCTGGTCTACAGTATTATCGATCAAGAGGTCGACTTCTAATTACAGCAGAGTTGCATCTCTTTTTCCGTCAACGTGCAGGGTTGAGAAATGCCCTGCATTGCATTGCATTGTCAAAGAGTCGCGAAGAGACACAGACAGCACATTAAAGTGTCAATGTAGGGAGAAACAGGAAACAAGGGCACAGCCAATCTGAATCGTCCTCCAAGTTTGTGCCTGAACGAGTTTGAAACTGGAATAATTCCCGCACAACCAATCCAGCTCGACTCGTGCCTTGCGTCGCACAGTCTTTTTTGTCCCTCATCATGTGTCAGTTTATTCACTGAAGTCAAAGTGGATATCCTTCCCCCCCCCCCCCTGGTGAGACGGCGCTGGGCACGGCTCAGGACGTTTTAGGGCCAAGCAGTTTTTTAGACCAGGCCCCAGAGGGAACTGACTATTCTAGTTGGAGTCGGTCGTCCGGCCCTGAGGGGCAGGAGACAGGGGGTATTGATGGACTCTAGCGCCATGGCGTCGATGGATTGGAGGAGCATCATGAACGTGGCACACTCAGGGACGAACAGTCCCTATTCTCTTGCATGCGATCTACTGGAGCAGACAGGGGTGATAGGTGGTGAGTGTGGTGAGTGAGCTCAATTCAGTGATTACCGATTACCGCGTATGTACGGAGTATGGAAGACAATGATGGGCATCTCTCAGAACTACAGGACAGTAATTGTTTTAACAGCCTGAGATATCTTCATGTGCTATCAATGCACCTCAATTCTATATGCCTTAGTGCTACCTAACCACTTAGGTACCTACCTAGGTAGTACCTAGTGGATTAAGGTACTACATTATATTAAGCACCCTCTTGCAGGAGAACCTCACATAGAACCCTCATAAATCATAAACTACTAACTTTGCGGAGATAAAATGGCAGGAACTGCTGTGCCATGTACTACGTACTGTATTTTCACGTCTCTACGTCAAATCCATGCCTAGCAGTTGCTGTAAATAGTTCCTTCCTTGAAATATCTTGATCTACCTACGGGGTAGTAGCAAACCGACTCCCAACAACCCTCACATAATACCGACTTCATGTCTCATCCCTTTTTCCATCATGCTTCACATATCACCAACCTCATACTTGCATTCAAAACTCACCGTCATCGACATATGCCAGGATCCCCCAGATTTGGAGCCTCAGCTCCTCGTCGTTCAACCCCTCACATAATTATCAACCCGCGTCTATCTTCGTCTAACACCACGGGCACAGACTAGTCCGGTCTTGCCAAGGGTCTAAGACAAGCATGCTGCTGAGCTGAGCAGAACATGCATCTGCGCTTTTCAGCAAGGGAGATTTGACAAAAACCGGTTACTTGCAGACCTCACCACTCGCCAGTCAAAGCCAGTCCATAATAGACACACTACCTAGACACATCCCACCAAAGCACACAAAAAGCAAAGACAATAAACGGCTCGGGCCCCTCGGCTAATTCCTCACCCACGATTCCAGAAATGGGATGCTACACTACATCAACGATGTATGGGATGTCACCACTTGCTCTAATCACACAAAGTAGTGGTGCGGTCACGCTGGTGGGATGGCATGGGCTGCAAGGGAGCAGATGGCTCCTTGCAAGGTTGCCGTTGTCCTCGAAAACGCGGCCTCGCCTGACCCGGCTGGAATGTGCTGAGATTAAACCAGGCTCGTTGTCTTTCATCTGCCATCATGAAGCCCATGTCTCACTTCGTCTCGTCTCGTCTTGTCTGTCAACGATGCGGTCTAGAATGGGGACGTGCGATAATCAGGTTATTCGCACTCAATAGCTCCCCATGATCTCCTTCTACCGATCGCACTAATATGAGGGATAGACTCGGCAAAATAGCTTCACGAATACGTGCGGCCTTGTTTCATGTGAAGTCGGCAGCAGCTGATGAATTGTTATGTCCTAGGGAATTATGCCGTTCCTTCTACGAACCATTTTTTATTGTGCGTTGTCAATCATTGCCAACATACAACGAATGTGCTTATCATGGCTTATTCGGCATGATAAGTCACTTCAGGTGAACCGAGACAAATCGGCCGGGCCGGCAAACTGGCGCCTTGCCTATCAAAAATCAGACTTATACGGAGCATGCAGTACCAGTGTAAGCCGTGTAAGATCATTGGGATTTATCATACCTTGCCAATGGTGCTAAAACGCCTGCAGCAGACAATTACCCTTCCTTCGCTCGCGGAGATATCAAGCCATGTACCAAGATCGTTTTCAAGGGACGGCATTATCTGTTGGCCAGGCACAGAGTCGCCCACTCGTCAAGTTTACGGATAGCATTGCTTATCATGCAGCCTGTCTATTCTTATTCTGCTGTCCGATAATCTTTGCTTTGCTATCGATCTGCAAATTATCACTCGATCATCCTCATCAATAACATGTGCTACCTATGGTGACCAGCGTCAAGTCTTGATAGAAAGACGAGGCCGCTGTTGCATTGTCGTTGCTTCAGTAATCATCCCTTCGATCGAGCTGCCACCGTGCAAGATGCCAAATCGGGATGCACCACTAGCCTAGAACTTTAGCTATGTTACCATCTTAGACGGATGTCGACCTGTCCGGCACAGGCTTTCCTCTTTAGGCAGGCTGGCTGGTGAGCCATCGAACAATAAACGGGCCTATCATCTTCACCGTTTGGCTGTTAACGTGGAAAGCTTCCAGGCCCCTGTCGAAACCTCTGCCGCCAGCAATGGCCAAACCTCTTAAAGCCATCCGTGATGACTTGGGCTGAACGCACGCGATAGATCTCAT